TTAGCTGAACACTGAATCTCCGTCTTTGACTTATGGCAAGGATGATGACCACACATGCCATGCAGTCCAGTTTCCTGAGACTGTTCCAACATAATTAATAGCATTGTTTTTCATTCTCAAAAATGCCCCAACTTGAATGTTAAGTTTATGTGATTATCCTAATCATAGCAGTTGTAAAATCATGGCACCACGAGGTAGCCCAGCCAGCCTTAAGACTTTCCCAGGAGTCCCCTTAAAGCCATACCAAATAAACAATTTCAGCAAGTTTGCTATGCAGAGCTAGGCATACCATCTTACTCAAATTACTACTCAGCCTCTTCTACACAGAACTCTGCAGGGGCCTGCATTGTGGCTGCCAACATCTCACATCAGAGAACCAGTTAAGTCAGGCTGCTCTGCTTCCGATCCAGATCCCTGTTAATGCACCTGGGAAAGCAGCGAATAACAGCCCAAGTACCTGGGCCCCTGTCACCCATATGGGAGACCAGGATGGAGTTCCAAGCGCCTGGCTTTGGCCTGGTCTGGCCCAGCCCTGGCTGTAGCACCCATCTGGGGAGTAAACTAGCAAATAGATGATCTCTTTTCATCTTTTTCCCTTTCTGTGCCACTCTACCTTTCAAATAAATAAATCTTAAAAAAAAAAAAAAGAATTCTGGCACTAATGCACATAAATATTCTCCTATTTAAAAAATATCACAGGGGCCAGCATTGTGGTACAGTGGGTAAAGCCATCACTGTGACACCCACATCCCATATGGGTGCCAGTTCATGTTCTGGCTGCTCCACTTTAAATCCAGTTCCCCGCTAACAGCCAAGGAAAAGCAACAGAAGATGGCCCAAATATGTGGGGCCCTGCCACCCACATGGGGAGGAAGCTCCTGGCTCCTGGCTTCAGCCTGACACAGCATTGGTTGTTGTGGCCATCTGGGGAGTAAACCAACAGATGTAAGATCTCTCTCTCTCTGTCTTTCCCTCTCTCTCTCTGTAACTCTTTGAACATATATAAATAAATCTTTAAAAATTAAAAATAAAATTTAAAATATTACAAATCCACAAAACAGTCTAGATTTAATTAACACTGGAAACACACGTAAGAATGTACACATAAATCACAAACAGCCAGGAATCTAAACTACCATATTGTGTCAACAACCTAAAACCCTACACGGCCTTAGATATAATATTTAGCTTTTTTTTTTCTTTTTAAAGATTTATTTATTGGGGCCGGCACTGTGGCAGTGGGTAAAGCCATTGCCTGAAGTGCCGGCACCCTACATGGGTGCCAGTTGGAGTCCCTGCTGCTCCATTTCCAATCCAGCTCTCTGCTATGGCCTGGGAAGGCAGTAGAAGATGGCCCAAGTCCTTGGGCCCCTACACCCATGTGGGAGACCCTGACTCCTGGCTCCAGATCGGCACAGCTCCAGCATTGCATTTTTTTTAAAGGGGGGAGGGGCACTGTGGCACAGCAGGTTAAAGCCCTGGATGTGCCAGCATCCCATATGGGCAATGGTTATAGTCCCGGCTGCTCCTCTTCCAATCCAGCTCTCTGCTATGGCCTGGGATAACAGTAGAGGATGGTCCGAGTCCTTGAGCCCCTGCACCCACATGGGAGACCTGGATGAAGCTCCTGGCTTCTGGCTTTGGATCGGCACAGCTCCAGCCATTGCGGCCATCTGGGGAGTGAATCAGCACACGGAAGACCTCTCTCTCTGTTTCTACCAATCTCTGCAACTCTGACTGTCAAATAAATAAAATAAATCTTTTTTTTTTTTTTTTAAGATTTATTTGAAAGACAAGAGTTACAGAAAGGCAGAGAGAGAGAGAGAGGTCTTCCATCCTCTGGTTCACTCCCCAATTGGCCGCAACAGCCAGAGCTAGGATGATTCTAAGCCAAGAGTCAGGAGGTTCCTGTGGGTCTTCTACACAGATTCAGGGGCCCAAGCACTTGGGTCATCCTCTACCGCTTTCCCAGGCCTCAGCAGAGAGCTGGATCGGAAGAGGAGCAGATGGGTCTCAAACCAGCGCCCACACGGGATGCCAGCACTGCAAGCAGCGGCTTTACCCACTACGCTGTAGCGCTGGCCCCAATATGTAGCTTTCCTGAGCTTGTTTTCACATCTATGAAACTAGAACAGTATTTGCCACCTCCACGTCCACGGAGAGCCCGCCTTAGCAAGCACACACACATGCCCAGAGTGCTTTATGAACGCAATGGAGTGCTCTCCCACAAAGCTTGGTAACTTATGGGGAAAGAAGGCCAGGAAACCTTGCATAAAAAAGCAAAACCTCTGCAAGCTGGCAGGTGGGTAAAATTTTGCTCTATTTTTCTTCACAGACTTTCAATTCAAATGTGCTGCTGGGGGCACTTCTACAACATAGCCAGAGTCACTGAGACAGTGAAACGCTCGTTTGAACTTAGTTGCCAGAATTCTTAACCACGAGTAATAGACTCCAAGATGTAGGGTTGAGCCTCAAGAGGTCTCTAATGCCCCCAGATGGCAGATGGAGAAACGTGAGTGAGAGGGAACACTTGCACAGGGCCACATTTTCCTCGTGCCAATCAGCACTCCCCAGTACAGAGGAAAGGGCCCTCAAACCTCGGTCCCTATTCAGCTGCTAACTTGAATTGCTACCCTGAAAAGCCACTTTGTGTGCCTCAACTTCCTTATGTTCCCAAAAGGAACACTTGCCTCATCTACTTCAAAAAGTGGTTGGAAGGGTGAGATGGGAAAATATTGATGAAAAGGCTCCACAAATTCTAATGATAACTTTTTCAAATTTACCATTAGAGACTAAAAAAAAATCCCATCTGCAGAGAGTTCTTATCTATTTAGCAAGTGACGGCAGAAGAATGAGGATAGTAAATAAAGGCACATGATTAAAATTCACCTTCTGCCACTCCCCAGCTCCTGGATTTGCTGAACCAAAACCACACTGGGGAGATGTAAAGATCACAAGTTCAGATTCTACCCAGCTCCGGCTGTTCAGTGACCAATGTTTCACACCGATAAATGCCTCCCAAATCTCAAAGCACAAAGTGAGAGTTCACAAGGTTAGGCGCATTAATTAGCAGTACTCATTTGGATTCTGTATTCATCAAACACAACAAGCAGCTATTCAATATTTGCCTATTTGCACTATTCTGAGCACTAATTCAAAAACCCAGCCAGAGTACAAAATAAAGCCTGAGAAAATAAACTAAAATAAACCTGTCACCATCAGAATGTGCTTCAAAGTAATGAGCAGCTTTAAACCATGGCGAAGGGCCTACCCAGGCCTACAGCAGACAGAGCACGCGTGATGAATGTGCAGGTTACAGAAGCGGGTCCCTGCGGCTGAAAAAAGGGAAAATAAAGTAGTTCCAAGCAAAGAGACTACTTTCTGTGCTTTCAGAAATCCCTATTAACTCTGTTTGCTGAGCTCTCTATTGATCTGTAATCCCCACAGGAAGAACACAGCATTATACAGTACCCGTTTAGATTCTTTCAAACTCAGAGTCTATTTCCATACTTTATATCAATAACTTTTACCTTCCTACATCCAAAATGCACAACATTTTATAAATAATGAGACATTTGCATGAGTGTACAAGCCTAGATTAAAACCCTGACTACACATACAAATCCTAGGTGAAAAGCACAGGATGAAACAGCAAGGCCACTCCCGTCGGCACTGTCCGCAGAACGGCCTTCCCAGCCTGCGCTGCACACCGCCATCACCGGTGCGGATCTCTGACTACCTGAACGGCTGGCCCACGCTAAGACCTGCTCAGTCAGGACCTCTGGCAGTTGGATTTCCATGTGGCAGTACTTTCTTCTGATGCATGGCCAAGATACAGAACCACCATCAAAAGCCAAAAAGTCACAGCCCGCAGAAGTTCTAGGGCAAAACCACGCCAGAAGGAAAACAAACTAACCCTCTCCACTCTCTTCAGATGTGGGGCACATGGCCAGGCCTTCCAGCTTCCACTTCAACAGGGATGATCTACACCCCATACCCTACCTGGGGTCAGTCTGATGCCAAACCAGTACAGAAAGCCTAAAAACTGGGCAAATGCTGTCAGATCTGGAGGGACCCCAAATAGGTCAGTTGAACATGGGCCATTCTGTTTTCTGAGATCAGCTTCAGGAGCTCTGGTGAGATTCAAGTAACATCTGGAAAGGGGGGACTATGTCAATCCTTTTGTTTAAAACTATAATGATTCATATCCCTTGGACAAGCCTAAAAACTGTGGCTTTTTTTTTTTTTTTAACAGCCCTATAAGGAATTGTGGATAAGCATCCACGATTCTCCTAGGAACTACCCTTGAAACCTCACAAACTGATACATTTCATTCAGAGCCCTACCAATTCTCTAAGAGCTAGCCTGAACCTGTTGTACCCTAACTCTCTGTCCCATCTGCTCAAGCCTTCAAATGGCAGACAAGGCAGGCACGTTATACGTTTGCCAAAACTACTCTGAGGACCTTGGGAGGGCCTGGGCTTTTCCCAACCATCCCCCACCTTCATTCTAACAAAGAAAAGCTGCAGACACGTCACTCCCTCTAGCAAGCCTTCCCTGATTAAAACCATAAGGCTCAATCCCCCAGGGAGGAGGACGGAACTTTCTCACTGCAGATTATTACAAAGGCTCAAAAGAAAATCCGTGCAGGAAGGGGCTTGGAGGCAGAAAACGGAGTCCAGCGCTCAGAACTACAAGGCCTCAAGAAAAGCAGGTTTAAAAGTGTCACGCAGCCTACGGCAAAATAACAAAACCAAACAACCGAGGCAGGCATGACTGTGCCTCAGTGACTGTCTCCCCGTAATAAGCCACAAGTTTAGCAAGGGTTAGAATACTGTTAGGATTAAGAAAAATATTAAGTTCATCTCTCTAGAAGTGAATGCATTACTGAAGCAAGCCATATTACCTTCCAGAGCCAGGAAACGCTCTCTATCATAGCCTCCTCTGAGAACACACACACACCACACACAGCACCAGAGGTACGAACAACAGATTCCAACCTGGCTGTCCCGCGCTGGGAATCCATGATAACCTGGGGTCAGAGGCTCGTTCTAAGAGAAAGAAAAGAAAATATTAAAACTACTAGAAGAATGAAAATGTTAAGAACAATCAAAGTCATACAACTGTCAAATATTAATCCCTGCCCCGGGTCCCAGGAAGTCCCATGCTGTGCTGCACCCCACCTAACCACAGGTACCCTCTGAAGCCTGCACACCGGCATGCACAAAACACCAGCCAACGGTATGTGCTTAGGAACACATTCAGAACCACGGCTCTCCCCCTTGTGCAGTTACCTGTGTCTCCTCCCCCGCTTATCTCCACTAGGGCACTGGACAGTCCTGAACCTCCTGCTGTGGGACTGCAGCAACCCCAGCACTCACTCACTAAACCCCAGCAATAATCCCGGCACAGCTAAAAGCCTGCAAAGGAGACAAGGTCCATCCTGCTGAGAACGTCTCCTCGCCTGGACAAGGTTTAGCTCCTCCTCTCTATCAACCTGTTTCGCCTCAATTCTTTTCTTTTCTTTCTTTTTTTTTTTTTTTTAAGATTTACTTATTGGGGCTGGCATTGTGGCGCAGCAGGTTAACACCCTGGCCTGAAGTGCTGGCATCCCATATGGGCACTCGTTTGAGACCCAGCTGCTCCACTTCCGATCCAGCTCTCTGCTATGACCTGGGAAAGCAGAAGAAGATGGCCCAAGTCCTTCGGCCCCTGCACCTGCCTGGGACACCCGGAAGAAGCTCCAGGCTCCTGGCTTCGGATCGGCGCAACTCTGGCTATTGCCGCCAATTGGGGAGTGAACCAGTGGATGGAAGACCTCTCTCTCTCTGCCTCTCTCCACCGCCCCCTCCCCCCCACCTCCGGTGTAACTCTGACTTGCAAATAAATAAATAAATCTTTAAAAAAAATATTGGCCGGCGCCGCGGCTCACTAGGCTAATCCTCCGCCTGTGTTGACGGCACCCTGGGTTCTTGTCCTGGTTGGGGCGCTGGGTACTAGTCCCAGTTGCCCCTCTTCCAGTCCAGCTCTCTGCTGTGGCCCAGGAAGGCAGTGGAGGATGGCCCAGATGCTTGGGTCCCTGCACCCACATGGGAGACCAGGAGAGGCACCTGGCTCCTGCTTCGGATGGGCGCAGCGCCAGCTGTGGCAGCCATTAGGGGAGTGAACCAACGGAAGGAAGACCTTTCTCTCTGTCTCTCTCTCACTGTCTATAACTCTACCTGTCAAATAAAAAAATTTTTTTTCTTCAAAAAGAAAAAGATTTGCTTATTTATTTGAAAGTCCAAGTTACAGGGGGGGGGGGCAGAGAGATGGGAGGTGAGAGTGGGGGTAGAATATCCATCTTCCACTGACTGGTTCACTCCCCAGACGGCCACAACAGCAAGAGCTAAGCCACAGCAAAGCAAGGAGCTTCATACAGGTCTCCCACATGCCTGGCAGCAGCCCAAATTCTTGGGCCATTTTGCACGGTTTTTCCCAGGCCATTAGTACAGAACTGGGCTGGAAGTGCAGCATCCAGGACACAAATCAGTACCTACTGGGAATGTCAGCAACACAGGGAGCAGCTTTTCCATACTCAACGACGTCAGCCCCTCAATTCTTTTTTTACTGAGATGAAATTCTCTCTCTGTTCAAGACTTTACCACCTGTGCCATCCCACAGACTCAACCGAATCCTAACATACATGTGTTAACACTCAGCTTATGTTTGCAATTTACTTTTATATCATTTATGATTCTAATAAATCTTATTTTTAAGGTGTATTATACTGAATGTCTGCCATCTTCCCAATAAACCACCGAATCAAGACCTCTGAGGGTAAGAATGATAACTAATAGAAGCTACAAAAACACTAATTTAGTCTAAGACTGTACAGTAAGAGCACTCACTTAACTGGCTCATACATTCAGCAGTCAACATAAGCTAAACACTAAGATATCCACAGAGCTGTTGATGACTGATGGAAGAAGACAGATGATGGAACAAGGCCCTGCCTGCAGTGGAAGTTGTAAAAGGGAGGCGATGCGCGTGCACACAGGGAGTAAGAACGCACGGTGCTTCTGTAATGTCAAAGTGCTCAATACAACCACTCCAAGATGCTCACGCTCCTCTTACACATCTGCACTTTCATTCCCACCTGCAGAAGGACAAGAGGGGTTTTCACTGATAGGACTTCCGAATGCGACAGGAGAATACACCTTCCACCTAACAGTAGCTATGCCGGAGATGTAACTATATTCACATATTTGACAGCCTAAAGTTCATACTCCCTTCAAAACATGAAAGCCGGGACCCGTTTAAGCTCACTGCAGAGAGCCTGCATCTGATTCACCATGCTTTTCCCAAGATCTGGTACAGGCTCTAACACATGGCAGGCACCAAAAGGAAAGTGCAAAGATCAACAAATGGAATTAAGTAGCCAGAAATCACTTAGGAATTCAGTCACTGCTGCAAGCAGAGGCAACCAGAGTTCTCCTCTTCTAGTCCTAAGTCTCTGTTGTATACATTTTAGCATTTATAAATTAGTCTCCCCAGAGAAAACACACCAGACAGTGAAGGTAACTGCCTTACAAAAACTGCACATACAAAACATTCTTAAGAAGAAAACAAGATGAAGGACTCAAGCTTGCCAGTTTCAAATTTATTTCAGGGGCTAGCACTGGGCATAGTGAGTAAAGCCGCTGCCTGCAGTGCCAGCATCCCATATGGGAGCCTGTTTGAGTCCCGGCTGCTCCACTTCCCATCCAGCTCTCTGCTGTGGCCTGGGAAACCAGCAGAAGATGACCCAAGCCCTTGGGCCCCTGCACTCACGTGAGAGACCCAGAGGAAGCTCCTGGCTCCTGGCTTCAGATCGGCCTAGCTCTGGCCATTGTGGCCATTTGGGGAGTGAACCAACAGATGGACGATCTCTCTCTGCCTCTCTTTACCTCTGCCTTTCAAATAAATAATAAATAAATATTTTTAAAAATTTTATTTCAAAGCTACAACAATCAAAATAGTGTAATACTGGCATAGGAATAGACGTATAGGCTAATGGACTACAAATGACTGTCCAGAAATAAACCCTTAGTTATGGCCAATTGATTTTTGAAAGGGATGCCAAGAAAGTCAAGACACAGTGCTGGGATAACCGAGTGTGTACATGCAAAACAATGAAACTGGACCCCTACCTCACATCACATACAAAATTAACTAAAAATCAGTCACACCTAAAACTTTAAAATTATTTTAAAAAAATGAGGAGTAAATCTGCATCACCTTTGGCTTGGCAAAAGTTTCTTCAATACAACACCAAAAGGTTGACAAAGGAAAATAAACAAGTTAGACAACATTAAAATTAAAACCTTTAGGGGCCTGCGCTGTGGCATGGCGGGTAAAGACGCCACCTCCAGTGCTGGCATCCCATATGGGTGCCGGTTCGAGCTGCTGCACTTCCAATCCAGCTCTCTGCTATGGCCTGGGAAAGCAGTAGAAGATGGACCAGGTCCTTCAGGCCCTGCACCCACGTGGGAAACCTGGAAGAAGCTTCTGGCTCCTGGCTTCAGATCGGCGCAGCTCTGGCCATTGCGGCCATCTGGAGAGTGAACCAGCAGATGGAAGACCTCTCTCTCTGCCTCTCCTTCTCTCTCTGTGTAACTCTGCCTTTCAAATAAATACATATTAAAAAAAAAAAAAAAAACACCTTTGTATTTGAGGGACATCATGAAATAAATAAAAATAGATTGGGAGAAAATGTTTTCAGATCATGTTTGATAACAGATAGTATCCAAAATATATAAAAAAATTCTTATTCAACAAAAAAAAGGACAAATAACCCAACATTAAACTAGGGAAAGGGGGACCCGCATTGTGGAGCAGTGGGTAAAAGCCACCACCTGCAGTGCTATATGGAGTCTGATTCAAGACCTAGCTGCTCCTTTTCCAATCCAGCTCCCTGCTAATGGCCTGGGAAAGCAGCAGATGATGGCCCACGTGCTTGGGCCCCTGCACCTGAGTGAGAGATTTGGAAGAAGCTCCTGGCTCCTGGCTTCAGCCTGGCCCAGCCCCAGCCATTGCAGCCATTTGGGGAGTGAACCAGCAGATGGAAAATCTTTCTCTTATTCTCTGTTTCTTCCTCTCTGTGCAATTCTGACTTTCAAATAAAATCTTTCTTGTTTAAATATTTAGTTATTTATTATTTAAAAGAGTTAGAGAGAGGCAGAGGCTGGGAGAGGAGGTGTCTTCCATCTGCTGGTTCACTCCTCCAATGGCCACAACGGCTGAGCTGGGCCAATCCGAAGTCAGGACCCAGGAGCTTCTTCTGGGTCTCCCACAAGAATGCAGGGACCCAAGGACTTGGGCCATCTTCTACTGCTTTCCCAGGCCGTAGGAGAGAGCTGGATCAGAAGTGGAACAGCCAAGGGCTCAAACCGGTGCCCATATAGGATGCCGGCACTACAGGCACCAGCCCCAAAATCTTTTTTTAAAAAATGGGGAAAGGATTTGAACAGAAATTCTCTAAAAATACATGTAAATGGCCAGTAAGTACAGTACATGGAAAGATGCTCAATAACATTAACCATTAAAATCAAATCAAAACCATATTCAGGTAACACACCAGGATGTTTGTAATTTAAAAAATCAGGTAATAACAAATGTTGGCAAGATTGTGGAGAAATTGGCACTCTTGTATTTTCACAGTTAGACTATAAAAATGTATGATCATTTTGGAAACAGTTTGGAGTCTCACAAAATGTTCAACAGAATTACCATGTAATCCAGCATGTGAAAATATAACCCACACAAGAGCCTGTAAGAGAATGTTCGTAACAGTACTATTTCCTAATAGCCAGAGTAGAAGCAATCCAAACGTCCCACAATTGATGAATGGATAAACAAAGTATGATATCTCCTTAACTGACTATTATCCAGCAATAAAAAGGAATATAGCACTAATGCAATATGGATTAATCTTAAAAACATCATGCTAAGTGAAAAAAGACACAAAATGCCATAAATTATATGATTCCATTTATATAAAACGTCCAAGCAAATTCTTACAGACAGGAAA